GGAGGAGTTGAAGTGATTGTGGAAGTCTCTGTTGTTGTGGATGTTTCTGCTGCCCTAGTGGTGGATGTTTTAGCAGGAGTCGTGATTGTGGAAGTCTCTGTTGTTCTAGAGGTTTCTTGTACACTAGTGCTGGATGTTTCAGCAGGAGTTGTTGTGATTGTGGAAGTCTCTGTTATTGTAAATGTTCCTGCTCCACTAGTAGTGGATCTTTCAGCTGCAGCTGTTGTGATTGTGGAAGTCTCTGATGTTGTAGATGTTTCTGCTGCACTAGCGGTGGATGTTTCAGCAGCAGGAGTTGTTGTGATCGTGGAAGTCTCTGTAGTTGTAGATGTTTCTGCTACACTACTGGTGGATGTTTCAGCAGCAGGAGTTGTTGTGATCGTGGAAGTCTCTGTAGTTGTAGATGTTTCTGCTACACTACTGGTGGATGTTTCAGCAGCAGGAGTTGTTGTGATCGTGGAAGTCTCTGTAGTTGTAGATGTTTCTGCTACACTACTGGTGGATGTTTCAGCAGCAGGAGTTGTTGTGATCGTGGAAGTCTCTGTAGTTGTAGATGTTTCTGCTACACTACTGGTGGATGTTTCAGCAGCAGGAGTTGTTGTGATCGTGGAAGTCTCTGTAGTTGTAGATGTTTCTGCTACACTACTGGTGGATGTTTCAGCAGCAGGAGTTGTTGTGATCGTGGAAGTCTCTGTAGTTGTAGATGTTTCTGCTACACTACTGGTGGATGTTTCAGCAGCAGGAGTTGTTGTGATCGTGGAAGTCTCTGTAGTTGTAGATGTTTCTGCTACACTACTGGTGGATGTTTCAGCAGCAGGAGTTGTTGTGATCGTGGAAGTCTCTGTAGTTGTAGATGTTTCTGCTACACTACTGGTGGATGTTTCAGCAGCAGGAGTTGTTGTGATCGTGGAAGTCTCTGTAGTTGTAGATGTTTCTGCTACACTACTGGTGGATGTTTCAGCAGCAGGAGTTGTTGTGATCGTGGAAGTCTCTGTAGTTGTAGATGTTTCTGCTACACTACTGGTGGATGTTTCAGCAGCAGGAGTTGTTGTGATCGTGGAAGTCTCTGTAGTTGTAGATGTTTCTGCTACACTACTGGTGGATGTTTCAGCAGCAGGAGTTGTTGTGATCGTGGAAGTCTCTGTAGTTGTAGATGTTTCTGCTACACTACTGGTGGATGTTTCAGCAGCAGGAGTTGTTGTGATCGTGGAAGTCTCTGTAGTTGTAGATGTTTCTGCTACACTACTGGTGGATGTTTCAGCAGCAGGAGTTGTTGTGATCGTGGAAGTCTCTGTAGTTGTAGATGTTTCTGCTACACTACTGGTGGATGTTTCAGCAGCAGGAGTTGTTGTGATCGTGGAAGTCTCTGTAGTTGTAGATGTTTCTGCTACACTACTGGTGGATGTTTCAGCAGCAGGAGTTGTTGTGATCGTGGAAGTCTCTGTAGTTGTAGATGTTTCTGCTACACTACTGGTGGATGTTTCAGCAGCAGGAGTTGTTGTGATCGTGGAAGTCTCTGTAGTTGTAGATGTTTCTGCTACACTACTGGTGGATGTTTCAGCAGCAGGAGTTGTTGTGATCGTGGAAGTCTCTGTAGTTGTAGATGTTTCTGCTACACTACTGGTGGATGTTTCAGCAGCAGGAGTTGTTGTGATCGTGGAAGTCTCTGTAGTTGTAGATGTTTCTGCTACACTACTGGTGGATGTTTCAGCAGCAGGAGTTGTTGTGATCGTGGAAGTCTCTGTAGTTGTAGATGTTTCTGCTACACTACTGGTGGATGTTTCAGCAGCAGGAGTTGTTGTGATCGTGGAAGTCTCTGTAGTTGTAGATGTTTCTGCTACACTACTGGTGGATGTTTCAGCAGCAGGAGTTGTTGTGATCGTGGAAGTCTCTGTAGTTGTAGATGTTTCTGCTACACTACTGGTGGATGTTTCAGCAGCAGGAGTTGTTGTGATCGTGGAAGTCTCTGTAGTTGTAGATGTTTCTGCTACACTACTGGTGGATGTTTCAGCAGCAGGAGTTGTTGTGATCGTGGAAGTCTCTGTAGTTGTAGATGTTTCTGCTACACTACTGGTGGATGTTTCAGCAGCAGGAGTTGTTGTGATCGTGGAAGTCTCTGTAGTTGTAGATGTTTCTGCTACACTACTGGTGGATGTTTCAGCAGCAGGAGTTGTTGTGATCGTGGAAGTCTCTGTAGTTGTAGATGTTTCTGCTACACTACTGGTGGATGTTTCAGCAGCAGGAGTTGTTGTGATCGTGGAAGTCTCTGTAGTTGTAGATGTTTCTGCTACACTACTGGTGGATGTTTCAGCAGCAGGAGTTGTTGTGATCGTGGAAGTCTCTGTAGTTGTAGATGTTTCTGCTACACTACTGGTGGATGTTTCAGCAGCAGGAGTTGTTGTGATCGTGGAAGTCTCTGTAGTTGTAGATGTTTCTGCTACACTACTGGTGGATGTTTCAGCAGCAGGAGTTGTTGTGATCGTGGAAGTCTCTGTAGTTGTAGATGTTTCTGCTACACTACTGGTGGATGTTTCAGCAGCAGGAGTTGTTGTGATCGTGGAAGTCTCTGTAGTTGTAGATGTTTCTGCTACACTACTGGTGGATGTTTCAGCAGCAGGAGTTGTTGTGATCGTGGAAGTCTCTGTAGTTGTAGATGTTTCTGCTACACTACTGGTGGATGTTTCAGCAGCAGGAGTTGTTGTGATTGTGGAAATGTCTGTTGTTGTAGTTTCAGCAGGAGTTGTGATCGTGGAGGTCTCTGTTGTTGTAGATGTTTGTGCTGCACTTGTGGTGGATGTTTCAGGAGCAGTTGTTGTGATTGTGGCGGTCTCTGTTGTTGTAGATTTTTCTGCTGCACTAGTGGTGGATGTTTCAGCAGGAGTTGTTGTGATGGAAGTCTCTGTTGTTGTAGATGTTTCTGCTGCACTAGTGGTGGAAGTTTCAGCAGCAGTTGTTGTGATTGTGGAAGTCTCTTTTGTTGTAGATGTTTCTGCTGGACTAGTGGTGGATGTTTCAACAGGAGTCGTGATTGTGGAAGGCTCTGTTGTTGCTGTAGATGTTGCAGCAGGAGTTGTTGTTGCTGATGAATAATCTGTTGTTGGTTCATAAGAAAACTCTTATCAGTTTAGATGGCACTTGCAAAAGCAATGACAAAAAAAACAATTGTGTGTAGAATTCGTATGTAGGTTTTTGCAGAATACTTGGTGAAAAACCATCATTACTGACCAAAGTTTATTTAAAATCATGTCTAATCTGACCATTTTACCAGCCTGTACTTTGTCTCACACATGTACAATACAAGATTTGATCAAACATTTGCCTTTAATGTTTTGTCAGACGTACCTGTATTATTAACTGAGAAAGAAGTTATGTTCAGGTCACTGATAGTGTCTGTGTCACTCAGTAATGCTTCTGCTATTTGGCCTTCTGATGGGATATCCTCTGTAGAGTTGAAAACGAGTTCCGATGTGGTAATGACCGACCCCTTGCTGAAATGCATTTTGTTTTAGAAATACTGTAATATTGGAATTATTTCTTTATATCCCCACCTGAGTAATAAATGGGTTAATCGCAAGTATGTGTTATCTCTCATAGTTTTAAACAAACACAAAGGCATGTTATTTAAAATAATCAACATTGAAGTTTATATTATTTACCTGAAATTTAGTACAATGACTCTAAGGAAGGACGTAAACTCCTTGAAAATGGTTTCAAGCTGTAACAAAATACAAAAAGTTACAATGAACTCTTATAAAACTACGACAAATTTAAAGTATTTCTGAATAAATGTAATTGCTGTTTATACATTAATGTATTATGTAGTGAATACAGTATGTTGGCCTGAACTCACATGAAATCGGACAACTCTAGCCCTATTTTTGAAAGATGTAGACTGTGAATCACTGAGGTCCTCTATAAATGCATCTTTAGAGCGGAACACCAGCTTTATTTTCACTTCATTTACAAGCTCCGTTGTTGTAGATGTTTCTGCTGCATTAGTGGTAGATATTTCTGCAGGAGTTGTTGTGATCGTGGAAGTCTCTGTTGTTGTAGATGTTTCTGCTGCACTACTGGCGGATGTTTCAGCAGCAGTTGTTGTGATCGTGGAGGTCTCTGTTGTTGTAGATGTTTCTGCAGCACTACTGGCAGATGTTTCAGGAGCAGTTGTGATTGTGGAAGTGTCTGTTGTTGTAGATGTTTCTGCTGCACTAGTGGTGGATGTTTCAGAAGAAGTTGTTGTGATTGTGGAAATGTCTGTTGTTGTAGATGTTTCTGCTGCACTAGTGGTGGATGTTTTTGTTGTGATCGTGGAAGTCTCTGTTGTTGTAGATGTTTCTGCTTCACTAGTGGCGGATGTGGCGGATGCAGTTGTTGTGATCGTGGAAGTCTCTGTCGTTGTAGATGTTTCTGCTGCACTAATGGCGGATGTTTCAGCAGCAGTTGTTGTGATCGTGGAAGTCTCTGTTGTTGTAGATGTTTCTGCTGCACTAGTGGTGGATGTTTCAGGAGCAGCAGTTGTGATTGTGGAAGCCTCTGTTGTTGTAGATGTTTCTGCTACAATAGTGGTGGATGTTTCAGCAGGAGACGCAATTGTGAAAACCTCTGTTGTTGTATATGTTTCTGCTGTACTAGTGGTGGATGTTTCAGTGGCAGTTGTTGTGATTATGGAGTTCTCTGATGTTGTAGATGTTTCTGCTACACTACTGGTGGATGTTTCAGGAGCAGTTATTGTGATTGTGGAAGTCTCTGTTGTTTTAGATGTTTCTGCTGCACTAGTGGTGGATGTTTCAGCCACAGCTGTTTTGAGTAGATGTTTCTGTTGCACTAGTGGTGGATCTTTCAGCCGCAGCTGTTGTAATTGTGGAAGTCTCTGTTGTTGTAGATGTTTCTGCTGCACTAGTGGTGGATGTTTCAGGAGCAGTTGTTGTGTTTGTGGAAGTCTTTGATGTTATAGATGTTTCTGCTGCACTAGTGGTGGATGTTTCAGGAGCAGTTGTTGTGTTTGTGGAAGTCTTTGATGTTATAGATGTTTCTGCTGCACTAGTGGTGGATGTTTCAGGAGCAGTTGTTGTGTTTGTGGAAGTCTTTGATGTTATAGATGTTTCTGCTGCACTAGTGGTGGATGTTTCAGGAGCAGTTGTTGTGTTTGTGGAAGTCTTTGATGTTATAGATGTTTCTGCTGCACTAGTGGTGGATGTTTCAGGAGCAGTTGTCAGGAGTTGTTGTGATTGTGGAGGGCTCTGTTGTTGTAGATGTTTCTGCTGCACTAGTGGTGGATGTTTCAGCTGCAGTTGTTGTGATTGTGGAAGTCTCTGTTGTTGTAGATGTTTCTGCTGCACTAGTGGTGGATGTTTCAGCTGCAGTTGTTGTGATTGTGGAAGTCTCTGTTGTTGTAGATGTTTCTGCTGCACTAGTGGTGGATGTTTCAGCTGCAGTTGTTGTGATTGTGGAAGTCTCTGTTGTTGTAGATGTTTCTGCTGCACTAGTGGTGGATGTTTCAGCTGCAGTTGTTGTGATTGTGGAAGTCTCTGTTGTTGTAGATGTTTCTGCTGCACTAGTGGTGGATGTTTCAGCAGCAGTTATTGTGATTGTGGAGGGCTCTGTTTTTGTTGATGTTTCTGCTACACTAGTGGTGGATGTTTCAGCTGCAGTTGTTGTGATTGTGGAAGTCTCTGTTGTTGTAGATGTTTCTGCTGCACTAGTGGTGGATGTTTCAGCTGCAGTTGTTGTGATTGTGGAAGGCTCTGTTGTTGCTATAGATGTTGCAGCAGGAGTTGTTGTGGCTGTTGAATAGTCTGTTGTTGGTTCATAAAAAAAATTCTTATCAGTTTAGATGTATGTAAATTTTAACAGAATAATTATTTAAAAACTTCATTACTGACTAAAGTTGATATAAACCATGTCTAATTTGATAGTTTTACCAGTCAGTACAGTCTCTCACACATGTATAATACAAGATTTGTTTAAACATTTTGCTTTTAATGTTTTGTCAGACGTACCTGTATTATTAACTGAGAAAGAAGTTATGTTCAGATCATTGTCAGTTTCTATGGCACTCTGTAATGCTTCTGCTATTTGGCCTTCTGATGGGACATCCTCTGTGGTGTTGAAAACGAGGTTCGATGTGGTAATGACTGACCCCGCTCTGAAATACATTTTTTAGAAATACTGTCACATTGGAATTAATTCTTTATATCTCCACCTGACCAAAAATGGATTAATCAGTAAGTATGAGTTATTTCTCACAGTTCAAACATACACAAAGGCAGTGTATATAAAATAGTCAGTATTGAAATATATAGTATTTACCTGAAGTTTAGTACAGTGATTCTTAAGAATGATCTAAACTGCTGAAAAATGGCTTCAAGCTGTAACAAAATACAGACAGTTGCAATGAGCTCTTATAAAACTATAAGAAACTTAAAGTATTTATGATTAAATGTGATTGATGTTTATTAATTGAAGGATTATGTAGTGAACACAGTATGTGGGTTTGAACTCACAATATCCTGAACATGCTTAGCCCTATTTTTGAAAGCAGGAGACTGTGAATCATTGAAGTCATCTATAAATGTATCTTTAGAGTGGAACACCAGCTTTATTTTCACTTCATTTACAGGCTCCATTGTTGTATATGTTTCTAGTACACTAGTGGTGGATGTTTCAGCAGTTGTTGTGATTGTGGAAGTCTCTGTTGTTGTAGATTTTTCTGTTGCACTAATGGTGGATGTTTCAGCAGGAGATGTGATGGTTGACATCTCTGTTGTCGTGGATGTTTCTGGTGCAGTTGTTGTGATAGTGGAAGTCTCTGTTGTTGTAGATGTTTCTGCTGCACTAGTGGTGGCTGTTTCAGCAGGAGATGTGATTGTTGAAGTCTTTGTTGTCATAGATGTTTCTGGTGCAGTTGTGATTGAGGAAGTCTCTGTTGTTGTAGATGTTTCTGCTGCACTAGTGGTGGCTGTTTCAGCAGGAGATGTGATTGTTGAAGTTTTTGTTGTCATAGATGTTTCTGGTGCAGTTGTGATTGTGGAAGTCTCTGTTGTTGTAGATGTTTCTGCTGCACTAGTGGTGGATGTTTCAGCAGTTGTTGTGATTGTGGAAGTCTCTGTTGTTGTTGACGTTTCTGCTGCACTAGTTTTGGATGTTTCAGGAGGATTTGGTGTAGCTGATGATATTTCTGTATTTGATGTTTGCTGTTGTGTAGTTGTTTCAGTTGTACTAACTGGTGGTGGATGTTTCAGGCGCAGTTGTGATCGTGGAAGTCTTTGTTGTTGTAGATGTTTCTGCTGCCCTAGTGGTGGATGTTTCAGGAGCAGTTGTGATCGTGGAAGCCTCTGTCGTTGTAGATGTTTCTGCTGCACTAGTGGTCGATGTTTCAGCTGCAGTTGTTGTGGTCGTGGAAGTCTCTGTCGTTGTAGATGTTTCTGCTGCACTAGTGGTGGATGTTTCAGGAGCAGTTGTTGTGATTGTGGAAGTCTCTGTTGCTGTAGATGTTTCTCC